ACGAAGTCCTCATCACCTGGATCCGTCCCTTCAAGATGTTCTTGACGGAGCCGATTGTCCTCACTCTATCTCTGCTGAGTGGTTTCAGTGATGCCCTGATCTTCATGTTCATTCAGTCGTTCAGCCTTGTGTACGACCAGTGGGGTTTCGGCACCGTGGAGCTAGGCCTGTCGTTCCTTCCCATTCTCGTGGGCTACTTTATCGCATGGGGCGCTTTCATACCCGTCATTAGAAGAAACATTGAGGAGCGGCGCAGGAAGCCTGACGATGAGCGGGCTCAGTACGAATCTCGACTTTGGTTCCTTCTTTATACTGCACCCTGCTTGCCTATTGGCTTGATTGGTTTTGCGTGGACCAGTTTGGGACCCCCTGTCCACTGGATTGGAAGCATGGTATTCTCTGCCATCGTCGGTATTGCCAACTACAGCATCTACATGGCTACTATCGATTACATGATCTGCGCTTACGGACCGTACTCGGCTTCTGCAACGGGCGGCAACGGATGGTCTCGAGATTTCTTGGCTGGTGTCCTCACCATCCCTGCCACACCCTTCTTTGAGAGTAAGTAACATATTACCGTCACAGTTTATATGGGATTCTAACAGATGACTTTAGACATTGGCGGGAAATACCACCTGGAATACGCGTCTACCATTTTATGTGAGTCTTCTTATTGATGTGCCCTGCGTCTGGGGATATGGGACACTAACGGCATTTCCTCCAGTCTGTATCTCTTTCCTTCTGGTCATTGCAGTATACGTCATCTACTGGTACGGACCAACACTCCGCAAGCGGTCGCCATTTGCCCAGCAGCTGTCCGATGCGAGAGTCGAGCTTCAGACTCACGGGCGACGGCTGTCTAAGATTCCTTCCGGTTCAAGGGCAAATTCCTTTGCACGCTCGCAACAGAACCTGCGCATTCGTCATACGCTTGGGAGTCGTCCTGGCAGCTACATAGCATCCCGCCCAGCGTCGAACGTCAACTCCCGTGTCAACTCACGGAGAAACAGTCTTTCTCGCTGAGCTCTTATGCCGGATTCGTTACGCATGCGACATGAGCCGCTCGGATACTATTTACGATGTCACTGAGACGATTAATGAGCGTTGATACCAATCATGGCCGATGCCTTTGCAGGTCATAAACGTTGTTTGCTTTACTCTTTACCATCCACGGACCTGTCCCTTATATATACTGTCCGAAAACGGTTTGGCCTACAATACCCAATAGTATATGCGCAACAATCATTTTCAGTTCTAGGCAAGGCGCTGGCTCGGGAAGTAATGAGAGACGTATTAGCTTTGCTTTGCTTCTTGGAACGTTTACTAGTTTTAGGTTAGCTTTCTACTGCTTGGGCTGTCTTGGTTAGCTGTTGCCATTTCTGGCTGGCTCAAACATGTAGCTATGAGCTTTTGCAGGCTCGGCCGTTCGCGGTCTCACCCTCGAAGAAAACCTAGATCGGGGTTTCTTTTTCCTGGGACAATTAAGAAATAAAAAGATACCATTGGAAACCATTTATTTATCTAAAGTATAAAATCTCATGAACCTATACCGGTCCCGCACGATCGCGACAGAGATAAGGATCGGTGGGATGCAACCAGACGGTGCAACCAAGCGGGAGCAGAACCATGGAGGACCGAGTCAAGCAGTACCGAACAGATTCAGATGGCGGTCATCTGCAATAACCGAATCATGCCGATGGTTGGAATGTGGAGACACCGACCTTGCATCTGGATCCGGACGGGAGCATCGGATTCGGCAGCCTCGGAATACCCTCCCTCGATCCCTGGGATTGGATACCAAAAGCCAGCCATGGATGGATACCTCTTACAGCGCTTGGCTCATTGTCGACATGGTCTAGCTCGATGCTATCATCTTACCGGACCCGAGTGTAGTGACACTGGTACTTCTCTGCTTTGCTTCTCGCCGTCTGAAAGATCAGACTCCTCACTGATTCTCATGCATTGATTGATGCAGGTACCCCTGCGGGAGATCTACAGGCCCTTGGGGAATCACATGTTTCTGCCATCTGGAGTTTTGAAACATTCGTCGGTTTTTCTAGAATGAATCGATGTGGTGCCCCGTCGAAGGGTGGATGGGTCCTTCGGGTGGTATTGCCGAGGATGTAAGGGGATTGGTTGGCTTCTTCCTATTGAATGGCTCAAGGGATTTCGATGCTTTCTATGGTTCCCTTCATCTATAAGGGTGTTTAGGACTGGTTTTCCTAAGGGAGATATTCTTGATCAGAGAAATCTCGCGATGCTTGTTGGTCTTGACAAGAACGCACTATATCTGGTCTCATCATGGTATATGCTCAACATCTAATTATAGAGATCGGTGCAGGAAGCAGGAGGCTGACTTGAGATAATCGATGTACGAAGCAGGGGGTTCATGTGGTCAGTATGAAACTATTCATCGACCAGCGCATTGTGGCGAAAGAGCACTTCACGGCGGATGCAGGCGATTCGCTTGCCGCGGGAGATCGACCCGTCCGCAGCCACCCCCAGTCACGTGCCCTGGCCGGTCGGTGGCCGCGGAGCGATGCTTAGTGAGAGCTGCTGCTGCGATAACTCGACGGCGCCAGCTATGCAGATAGTCTGATCTACCCTTCTCTACCACCGCTCAGCATGGACCACGTATCTAGGGCAATTCAGCAGCCCCGAGCGGTGGTCACTCGCCTCCAGCGTTACTGCTTCCGCCGCAATTACCATCTACGACCCTCCTCTTCTCGCGTTATCCCTCCCTCCTCCCACCGCCTCGGACCTCGTGCTGCGGCGACCACTTTCAACACCTACACCTCCAACCTCCCCAACACCACCCCTTCATATCGGATAGCTTTGCGCCGCCACGCCTCGACGATGGCGGACCCACAGTTTGCAGAAGGGACCAACCCCGAACAGGCGCGCCAGGGATTGCAGACACTGCAGGAACAGGGATGGGTACTGGATGAAGATGGACAGGGCGTGAAGAAGACCTTCTATTTCAAGTCGTACTTCAAGGCGGTGGTATGTTGGCCCCCTCCTCCTCCTCCTCCTCCTCCTCCTCCTCCCCCTGTTTTCCGCCCCTCCCTTCGATGTGTTAGATATGATATGGGCGCAAGGTGATCTGACCGATTTGGTATTATTTGCAGAGCTTTGTCAACGTGGTCGCATCGCAGAGTTCGACCAAGAAGCACCATCCTACCATGACTGTGGTAAGTGTGACTCATCACAGAGAGAGAAAAATAAAAGGGGGGGGGGGGGGGGGTGAAGTGAAATGGTTATGATTGAGGCTGATTTGGAATCATCGTAGAGAATCGGATCGGTCGATATCCACTGGACTACCCACCACCCTCGGGGCTTAAGTGAGAAGGACTTGGAAATGGCGCAGCATTGCGACGAGGCAGCGGAGCTGATGGGGTCGGTGGAACAAGGACAGGGGAAAAAGTGTGCTCCGGGTCGAGACTAACTCCAATCCCCATTGTTGGATGGGAATGGGGGAATTGTGTGGCGTAAGGAGCTGAGGGGGGAGATTCATGTTAATATTGAGTGTGATTGATTGGTATTTATTAGTGACTTGCCAGCGGAATATTCCCATGATAGCCAAATTGATTAAAATGATTGATTATCATCTGATTAATCATTCAAACAATCAAAACAAGGGAGGGGAGAGAGGAGGGGGGTGACCTCTTAGTCAGCGCTTATGTTCCTCGTGGACAATAAACAAAAAAGGCGTAGTTCAACAATCAATCCAATCCAGCCAGTCAGTCAAGCTACTTTGTACTAAGAAAGTCTAGTCGAACTTTCAGCTGAGAAAAATGGCTGGAATGTGCCACTTTTGTGCCTGTTTTCGGGTCAGGCCATCCAACCAGATGCCGACCCGAAGTGTGAAGAAACAAAAAAATATACACAACCAACTCAACTTATACTACCGACATCTAATCTGACACGGACATCCTGTCACTCTGCAGGTAAGCATTTCTCCATTCCTCCATCCTTTTTCCCCTTCTCCAATGTTTTCAATTGATGTGTTCCTCATCCGGAGAAAATCAAACACGACTAACCGAATTCCACCCCCTCTTGAGGCCTCTAGTTCGCTCATCAACCGACAACCGTTGCCCGGAAAGTGGGGACCGTAAGGTTTGGCTCAGTTCAGGGGCATCAACATGACTCTCCAATTTCATAATGGATTCTCTCCCCCGAGGGAGGAGTGGATAAGTTGGGTTGGGTGATCACCTTGGGTGGCGGGAGAGAGATGCAGGTCGCGCATTCACATCACATACTATCTGGTATGTTTTTGTGCGAATCTATTCTACTCCATACGATCTCATCTCTCTTCCTCCCTCCTCCCTCTCTCTCTCTCCAGCCCATCCCCAGCTCAGCCAATCCCCCTCCCCTCCACTCAGGGGGTTCGCTTGCGCGCGCAGACCGTTTCAGATCTGCTTGTCATCACCACTAGCCCTCTAGTCGCTGGCTAGGCCCGACGGGGCAGGTTCTATGGACGGGCAATCAATAATCTAATTTAATCCCAGAAACTTTGCGCTGCTGGCCTGCCTGGAGCCTGTTTCGTCTTGTTTCGCGTTGGTCCGTTTTTTTCTTTGTCACACTTCCATCTCCTCCTTCTCTTTTCTCGTTCACACAATCACGCTCATACACATTATTACTACTTTTACTACTACTTCTTCTTCAATTCTTCTCCTCTCTTTCGCGCTCTGGGTCTTTTCGCAATCCATCAACTACGGGCCTCCACACTCCCAATTGCCGACTATGACGTGTGTTTGACTCCCAATCTCTTTCCCTGATTTGGTTGTCTGTTGATCCCACACGGCCACTTCGTCACTCCCTGTCGCGCACGCCCCAAGACAAGACCTCGAGTTCAATTCGTACTCGCCGTCCACCACGGATTCACGCTAGGTGCAATATACCTCGTCTATCCGAGATCTTTCCTTCATAAACGACTTTTTCTGTGCCCTACACGGTCGGACATGATCTATGCTTGAGTTATCATCGTCAGCTTGCGATGACACTTTTCTTGTTTTCAAGCACCCTAATCTTTCCTTATCGATCAATGAGGCACTCATTGTTAACACCATTCTTTTATCTATCCATTCGTTAATTATACCCAATCTTGCTGCGGTCAATTGATGCGCGTGATTTTGTTTACTATATACCCTTCCCAACCTCTTCTAGACAGCAGGCATTCCGACGTCCGCCTTCAGGACATACAGTGGAGGTCTGACTAAGGATGACGTTGGATGTACACTCCCCTCAACAATCGGTCAGCGAGCGCAGAGGCCAGCGATTGGCCCCTCTACAGACCAACTTCAGTCGCCCAACCGCACGTCCAGTGGAGGTTCCACCCGGCAGACCACAGCGTCCACGGCCCACGGACTTCCAGGGTGATGCGGAGGCAGGTGAAAGAGTCCCATTGCAGGCCACACCGGTTAAGCGCCAAACATCCAAGTCCAGTCTGCGGAACATCTTCGGACGCGACAAGTCTTCCCGGAAACAACCTAGCGATGCTAAGCTCACGGGCATCGATGAATTGCAGCAGCAAAGCACACAACCTGCAACCGAAACAGCTCCGGTGATCCAATCACCCACAGCTGTTGCCACGCCGAAGACTACCGTTTCGACAGCTACACTCCCCACGTCGCCGATTACGACAACATCTCAACGGTCCAGGCTTCCCTCCAAGTCTCGTGCGAAAACAGGTGACGAGAAGCCTGCTGCGGGTGAGATAGGATGGAAACCACCACCACTCTTCCAGGCGTATCCACAGGCAATCAAGCATGACACCCTTCCTGTCCCCGCCATGTCGGTGGATTCCATCATGCGCATGCATGCCACCTCGAAGGCAAAAGCTGGTGCTCGTGAAGAAGAGCCTGCTAATGGAGAATCGACGGAGGATGGCGCGGCTCGGAAGAAAAAGGAAGACAAGGAGAGGAAACGGCACATGCGCACTCTCTCCGAAACAATGAACAAAGCAGACTGGACCCAGAAAGTCTATGTACTGGCCACCGCTGGCTATATCTTACAGTATTCTGGCTCCGGTAAATACGACAGGTTGCCGGAGAAGATGTTGCAGCTCGGTCCTCGAACTGTAGCCTTTGCTAGCGATGCGATTCCTGGGAAGCATTGGGTGCTGCAGGTATCACACACTGACGAAGACGGCACGGATTCGACTAAGCCCTCCCGGTTTCGCTTCGGGTTTCACAGGTCTCCGTCCCGGCGGCTTGAGCGTTGCTTCCTTCTTGTATTTGACCACCCCGAGGATATGAGCTCCTGGCTCTTGGCCGTTCGGGCTCAGATCGAGGCACGGGGAGGTAAGAAGTATGTTTCAGAAAAGACAGCCGACGATGGGGAAGAGCCCCAGCTTCAGACTAAGCCCAGTATCCGCCAAATGGTGACCAAAGATCCAAACCGGTTTTCTATGCTACTGAAACCTCAGCAGTCTGTATCTGAGGAAGACAAGGACACCGGTGTCAGCGTTAGCGACCAATCCCGTCGGAGCTCATACGTCTCTCTCAATCGCCGGTCGATAGTCATGCCCGCCGCATCAGAATCCCGCTCGGGCTCCATATCCACCACACATACCGAAATAACATCTCCTGTGAGCGGTACGGGACGATTCTACTCATCCATTCCTAGTGCAAGTGTCCCCAATTCTCCACCCAACGGTGGTGTGGTCGCAGCGTCTTTGGACGGCACAGCAAGTCCCAGCGTCAAAAGCTCAACGAAGCGTCGATCGTTGAACATATCGTCCCCATCAACGATCAAGACCGCTGCTGAGATGGCTGCAGAGATCCCACGAGCACAATCGACACAGCCGGATCCTGTGCTCCGCAGCACCTCGCCGCCGGCACCAAACTTCAGTGTGCCGTCTTTTAGCAAGAGATTCACTGCCCGATTTGGCCCACTCCAAGTCCCTCAGGTCTCTCAGCTTCCTACAGCCGTGGAGGATACAAGCAGCAAAAGTACAGTTGCTGCGCTTTCGGCGTTTCCTTCTCCACCCCAATCTCCAGGCAAGGTTCCGAACGGCTTCCTGCCTGAGGAGCCCAGCGAGGAGCAGCAACAACAACCGCAAGAGCCGGAACCGGAGCCGCAACCAAAGAAGCCGTGGCCACTCCATGCAGGTCAGCCTAAAAGGCCACCACTGCGCGTTTCCTCTTCCCAAGACTCGCTAGCGGAAAATCAACGTATAGCGGATCCCAGAGGCAACCGTCTCTCTCGCATGCCTCGGAGCATACAACCCAACATGGCAGCCCCAGTGCCGCGGCCCACGACTGCAGTCGGCGGAGGGCCAAACATGTTGCACGTGGGTTCAGACACACGTCGTGATCAGCAACGGACCAGAGGGTCTGTTATGTACCAACCAGATCCAAATTCCCGTCTGCCGCCAGTAGCCATGGGTCGCCGGAAGAGCATGCCAGGGCTGATCGGACCGCCAGCTGCACCGCCGCCTAACTGTCCACTACCTAAAATCCCATCCCCAGTCGACCCACAGTCGACCAACTGGGGTGATGCACCCGCCGACCTGCGACAGTGCATCTCGCCTCCCCCGCTCCAGACTATCCGGGAACAGCGCAAGAGTTCCGCTCCAGTTCCCGCCGGCTATGGCATGCAAAGTCGAAGTGTGTCCCGGCAGTCCAGAATGCCGCAAATATAATCAACCAGCCTCTAATCACTCCTTACTATACATACATTCACCCATTCGCATGATGAACCCTGCATGCCTTGTACATGTTCATCCTATTTCTACCCATTATGCTTCCACGTCGCCACGGCACGACTTCTTTCCGTCCGTCGACTTTGACAGTCGACGATGTCGATCATCGTATCATTACATAGCGATCCAGCGTTTTTCTATCTTCTTTACAATTTTCAGATATACACCCTCTTATTATACATCCTGATACCATTCGTGAATGTACTGGCACACATGTCGACTCTTACTATCTACTACCCACAGGCTACTACTATTACTACTCCTACTATCATTTCCTTTTCATGTGTTACTCTTACCCAAAACGATAGACGTGGTGGCTCTCTGTTTTGTGTGATTCATTCGATATTTACTTTCTCAAGTTGTATTCTATTCTATCTTTTATCATATACAGGCTGCTATACAGTGATTCCAGAGCGAATATACTAGCGATTAATACAATATGGGATCTACTGTTCATGACTCCAACAACTCTCTCTTTCTAGAACGCCGCAATTGATTAGCAGCACAAGCTTTCTGGCACCCCTAATCAATCTACCTTCTTTTATGAATATTTTTCAAGAAACTATCAAGTAGTATAACCAAGTATCCAGCAACAAACACTAACTACTCTGGATTTCGATCCATCTACCTCCGGCAACTACGTAAATGATGTGCACACAGTGCACACAGCAAAAGGGAAACGAAACGGCCCGGCCCGTTATTGGTGTCGAGAATCCCGAGAATCATCCGCCTTGGCTCCGAAGAGGGTATTATGTAATGGGTAGATTATTAGAGATGGTCATATTTTTTCAACTTAGTTGAGATAATTGAAAGAAAAGAGAAGAATGGATATATGTATAGGTTATGTACTATATATCTTACTGGTAGAGATAGTGAGCGTGTGATAGTGTATAACATTTACTAGTTGTTGGGAGTTAGTAGTAGTAGACGGGTAGTTACTATGTAGCACTTCTATGTATATGATTGTTCAGTCACTGTTGGGATGGATGAGTTAAGTCACTGGCACTGAGTAATTACTTACTACTAGTAAGTAGCTGGTAGATATGGTATAGTGGTGAGAAGTAGTAGTAGTAGTGGTGGTGATAGTTGAATCTTCTCTTTTGAACGCTTGCCGAGTAGAATGAAGAGAATGCGACCTACCACCACCACTACTACTACTATCTTCACTGTATATGCAGCGGAGGCTGTAGCAGTTTATATTATGAATTCCACGACAGTGTATCACTACGCGCATGCCAAGCGTGCATATATGCCAACAGTAGGAATTGATTCAATCATGTGCTAGCAAGCTGTAAACCCAAAACCCGAATACCCCTAACCTAACCAAGCAACAATGGAAATGGGAAAATGCGACCGAAGTGTAAAGCGAGGACGTGCAAGAGTTACCGTACAGAACTGAAAGGATAAGATGGGATATGATTAGAAGCGAGAAAGGTTGTATCTCCCACACATGTAGGAAGAAGGCTCAATGGATTTCCGCAGTCAATGGTATAGAATCAAAGTACATCGATTACTCTTCGGTGACTTCCTCCACGCGCGGCGCAAGGTCTCGCTTTACAGTGCTTGAGGTATCCGGGGCTGCTGTTGCTGTTGTGGTGGCGGACGGAGTGGATTGGGCTGCGGCTTGAGGTTCCTCGCCTCCTGCGTTCTTGGACTTCTTGGACTTTTTCTTCTTGGTCTGAATATGGAGGTTAGATATTGTCTTTCTTTCTGCGATGCCATGGTAGGTCGCTTACCTCTTGCCAGCCCCACAGGGGCTTGAAACTATCCACGAATCCAACATCTTCGAATAGGTTGGGGAACAGCCATAGACCAGGGGGAACCGCAATGACTGTGATGCAGAACAGAATAAGACGAAAGATGGACATGGCGAAGAACAATCCCAGCAGACCCATCATGCCCACACTCAGGTACCAGACACCCTGGCGCAGCATCATCGGCCACAGGGGGAACAGCACCACCGCGAAGATTCCTGCTACTACAGCCGCGGCCATGACCTTCTGCTTCCACTGCGGACCTTCCCACAGCCAGACATAGTGCATCATAGGATCGGTTTCTTGGTGCTGCTCAATGCGCACCGTCCACAGTCCCTTGACACGGTTCTTGGACTTGCCGTGGTTGTGGCCCGCATGGGGGTCAACCTTCGTCACGCGCAGAGCAAGAAGGGATAGGGGAAGAAGCTTGAAGACGTTCTCTGCCGATGCGCGGTCGGTGACTGGAGGGAGAAGAGAGTTCTTTTTGGCAGCCGCCTTGGCGTAAGCTGGGGACTCGATGGCGCGGATGGCACGTTTCACTGGTATTTATGAGTATTTTCCAGGCACATATGATAGTAAAGAGTATATACCTTTGAACATCTCCTTCCGCTGCCCATCCATGATACATGTCCGTGTCTTTAGGTTCTGCGACCGCAAGAACGCGGCAACGGCGAGCGCCTTCGGATCAGGAGGGTTGTTAGGGTTCACAGGGACCTGGCGGGTCACCTGCTGGGGTTGAGGCTGTGGGGGTGCTGGCAGATTCTGTCCTGGTTGGGCTGGTGATTGAGGAGGTGCTTGCCCTTGCGCTTGGGGCTGCTGGCCCTGCGCTTGGGCTTGAGCAGCTTGTCGTTGGGCCTCGACTTGTCTCTGGTGAGCGGCAAGAGCTCGCATTCTCAACTGAGTGACATATTGTTCGGTTGTCATTCCGTGCTTGGCTGCCTCTGCAGTGAGCTGTTCGCGCTGCTGTTTGGCAAATTCCTCGGGGGTCATTCCGCGCCTAGCAGCTTCGGCGGCGAACTGCTGTTGCATGGCCGCAATCTGCTGGGGGGACGGCTGGCCGGGCGCCGCCATGGTGAAGGAGTGTGTAGTTTTTTATATATAAAAACTAGAAGGGTTCCGGAAGAAAAGAAATGCAAGAGCGCACAGCGCAGTGACTTGCAGAAATTGAGTGGACGTTTCGGGTGGGCGATGGATGAGATGGCAGGAAGTTGGCGGGAGATGAAAAGGCCAGATGGTGTTCCAGTTGCCCTTCCACTTGCGCCGTCAGGGTCCCGATCGCCGTCCACCGCCTTCTTCTCCGCACTCCGTTCTGCTTCCATTCTCCCACTCGGCGCATTCATCTCCCCTCACGTTCATCATCTCCATCCACTATATCAGGCAACTCCACGCAGACTCCACTCCTTTTCGACTAATGTGATTCGAGTTCCGGTGTGCTGCCTGCAGTTCGCAGCTCCATGTCATTGAGTTTCTCCTCAGATGTCGCCTTGAATGCAACGGAGGCGGCCGTCTTCCTGGTAAGTTGCGCGCAATCATGCGCAAATGCGCTTATACATAGGTTTATTCCGCTTACTGACATCTTCCAGAGCGAAAGAGATGTAGCTGGCCAGATTCCAATTAACTTCGTCAGCACATCCGCCGTATCACTTCGCGCGGCATGTTTTGGCGACAATGTCTACGACCGGGATGCAGCGGGCAAGTGCATCTCCAACTTACTAGTCATCGGATACCGCCGCTTTCTCGTCGACCTTTACTGGTCGTCTGACCAACGGGATTGGATGCTCTGCCCGCTGTCGCTCTCCCCGGATGTCCCCGTTGTGACTGTGTCGTCCATATCGCCTACTTCTTCGACAACGACAACTGCGACGAGTGGAATAACCGCAACGACGACCGCAACGACTACAACAACGACAACGAGCCAGACAACCAAAGCCACTTTCACTGCGGTAGCCCGATCGTCGGGTTCGGTCCTCTATGAATTGGGTCCGTACCGCTGTTCTTTGGATCTCGACTTGTCCGACCTGATCAATGTGTTCCGGGGTTTCTTCCAGGCGTATACCTCCGAGCTGACCGTGTATACGAGATACATCTCTCTTAATCTGCATGCGGCTGGAAGCGCGACTAGTCCCGACGAAGCAGCATCTAGTGTGACTGGATCGCAACTACCCACAGGCTCTGAATCTGTCAGCTATCTCTTCGATGAACATCTGTCTTCTTACATATACACGCCGTCAACCCTCGCTTCCGAGCGCGCCAACCTGAATCAATCATGGTACCAGGTCGAAGACGGCTACAAACCCATTACCGAGTACTTCACCATATATGAGGACCCCAACGGCGACCAAAGTACCCCTGATGGCTGGCCATGCGTGAAGTACCTTCAACTAGCACAAGAGAAGCGCCTTCTCATTGACTACGGGACCATCGACTCCCAGCTACAAGACTACAACTTATCCTACATGAGTGACGTTATCTTTCCATCCAACTATCTCACTTCCACAGTATCCGTATCTCTTGACTCCGACGGAAGCGTCGACACTGGCTGTTTATATGATCCCGACGCGACCACCGTATCCCAAGCCAACAACTCCTGGGCCATATCCGACTACATCCCCATACCAGAAGGATTAAGCCAGAACTCGACAATCGCAGCAATGTCCCTCGTGGCCTCCAACCTAACCGCATGCGGCCTCACCCCCACACTAAACGACACCCTCTTCAACAAAACCGCCGACACCGACCCCGAACCCTACACAGAGATATCCCTATCCAGCTCCTGGGCCTGGTCCATCGGCCAACCCGCCAACGCCGACTCATCCTCCGCCAGCTTCAGCGCCACAGACCGCTGCGCCGTCATAGACCTAACAAACAGCGGCCACTGGCGTGCCATCAACTGCAGCCAAGTCCGCTACGCCGCATGTCGCGTGGGAAACAACCCTTTCACGTGGCAATTATCCCCAGCGCCATACACCTTCCGAGACGCCTACGATCACGGCTGTCCCGAGAACACCAGCTTTGCCATTCCACGCACCGGTCTCGAGAACACCTATCTATATCAGTACCTGCTAACACGATCGGACGTTCTCGACCCAACCTCTGCATTCCCGAACAAGACCAAGGTCTGGTTAGACATGAATTGCATCGATGTGGAGTCTTGTTGGGTAACGGGGGGTCCTGATCAGGAGTGTCCGTATGCGTCGGATCCGCAGCAGCTGGAGAGACGGACGGTCTTGGTGGCTGCTATTGCTGGGATTGTGATTTGTATTATTGCTGCTCTGACGTTGTTTGTAAAATGTAATGCCAACCGGCGCAATTCGAGGAGGAATAAGAGGGTAATCAAGGGATGGGAATATGAAGGGGTGCCTTCGTAGTTTGGTATTGTGGTTGTTCATTGTATATTTGTATGTTATAGCTGTATATAGTCTCCGAATTCGGATAAAAATCATGAGATACTAGTAATATGAAACATTGCAATATTCTTTGAATGGTATGCTAAGCTACTACGTGATTGTCTACAGTAAAAACAGTGGGGAGTATCACCAATAAAACAAACATAAAATCACATCAGTTATCGTCAGAAGATCCTCATGTCCAACATGTGCAAACCATGATATCCATATGCCTCATAAATTCAATGAAAGAAGACGCATCGCGTCTTGAAATAGTTGTAGATGCTTTGTCCTTTTTTTTATGCGTGTTCCACTCCGAGCATATCAGTGCTATAGACCCGCAAAGCGAGCCCATCCGGCTGCTCGGATAGGGGTTGTGTTCTCATTTTTTGGTTTGGTAGTCTCGACACGGCCCTCTTCCGCAATCTTGCCGCTGACGTCCCGCCGTCTTCCCACTCCCAATCCGGCGATGTAGTTTCCATACGACAATGAAGAGTTGGCGTGGGTGGCATCAGCTCCTGAGTTACTGACGACGCGACCTTTACGATCACCGTCGATAGTCACCGGGTCTGCAGAGGGAATGCCAAGGCTATTGAGGTCACCATCGTCATGCTGCTTAAGTGCGCCGTAGGCGTTGAACTTCTGGCTTTTCTTGATGCTGAGCTTGTTATTCTTTGGAGTGAGCTTCGACTGGTCGCGGCTGACTTTTCGTGGGGTGTCAAGTCCGAATTGGTCCGGGAGTTCTCCATAGAAACTTCCTTTCTTCTGCAGACTATCAAGAAGCGGCTCGTCGGCAGGAGGCTTGGGAGAAAGATTGGGTATGTCAGTAAGGGCCATGCGCCCATTGCTTGGTGTGCGATTCTGGACGATGTCCGGCTTCGGCAGGGGAGAGGGCGGGTTCAGTGCCAATGGATTGACCTTCAGGGAGTTTCTCGTGTCTTCGTCGAGCTCTTCGTGGTCTTGGAAGATGTCAATCCGGTGGTCGCCAAGGTCTTGCTCTGCATTATCGTAAAATCCGCTTCGGTAAAGAATGTCATGAACGTCATCATCGTTTCCATAGTATTCATTCGCCGCAACCGACTCGTACTCCCCGCGCTTATTCTCGCTGATGGCTTCACCTATATTCAAACCATATCGCTGTGGACTGAACCAATCCATAACACCGCCCTTTGATGAGGCTGGGGTTTCGGCACGGCTGTATACAGAGGACGGGTCGCGAGGAGCCGGGTGTTCGTCTTTAGCCTCCTCCACGGGAGTTGTAGACCGAGACGGATAGACAATCCAATTCTCTGAGGCAGGGCTCACACATTGCGATCTGTTGGGAAGATCGGGAGATGGCTCGCGAACCGGCGCGCCACGCGGAATTGATGTAGTTGCCCTGGTAAAGATATCTGGGTTCTCGATAGGCGACGCGATAGTTGTAGCATCATCTATATCGTTTGGCTGATGGAAAGGTAGATGTGGGATGGTGTCGATGCGTGATGGGCGATGGAAAGAGCGAGTAGGCTGCGGCGGCGTTCTGTCTGTGAAAGTAGGGGGGAATCGACTATAGTCGTCGTTGAAGGATGGATTACTGCGAGTCTCCATGAAAGGCACACTTCGTGGAACACCGATCAGTGGATCTTCACTAGAAATATTGTCCGAGCCCAAGGTAGATTTGCTGGCACGCTTTTCAATTATCTCGGACTTGGTCCGTGAGAATGGACGTGCAGTCAAGTTGTCTTCTAGCGGGTTCATATCTGGGGGTAGTCGGGTGATCTTCCGGAAGATGGTACCCAAGAATATGGAGATTCCAAAGGATATCGCATGAAGTGCACCGTTGATTATACCCAGCAAGAACGTAGTCTCTGCGATCTTGGTTGTCGTCTCAACATTAGAACCTAGCATTGTGGTCCAGTCGTATGCGTTGTTGGTATATTGCCCGTAACCTAGGTAGGCTGAGAAAACATAGAAGGGGATCAGGCCTAGATCGAACGTTGCGGCAAAGAACATGTAGCTAGCCTGCGACCCTGGAGGCCTTGTGATCGAAGAGCGACTCAAAGTATATATGCCGTAGAGAGTGTGCAGAATTGCGACAGCTGGCTTGAAGGGAGTTAGGTTCTAGCTCAACGTCACATAACTTGGCCGCATCACTTACCCCGACTCTGACAATCCAGATCACGGTTATTGCGGCATTCTTGATAACGATCGAACAGAACAGGGATCCGATAGCTCCGGCAAGAGCAAGTATCCGCAGTCCAAGCTGCACCTTGCGACCATAGACCACGCGCCCCTTTGTTTTTGGACTCATTGGCGTCCATCGCGGTTTGGCGCTAGGCGTGTTGCATTGCTTGAGATTGTTAGTACACGAATGTTGTCCAACTGATGTTCGTGAAAGAGCCGCAAAGCACATACCACATCAGGAAGGGTATTGGCATGATCAACCAATGGTCCCTTTAACTCAGGCTTTGGCTCCGGTCGAGTCCAGCTCGCTTGTGTCACAGCCTTCGGGTTGAAGGGAGGCTCGGGCGAACCGTAGAACCGGTTGGACGAAGCGTAACCATAAAGGAATGAAGAGTCGTGATTGTCGCCCATGATCGCTATGGTGAAAGCCCCAATCTAATACCGAAGGCTTGACCCACGCGACGAGCGGGGGAAAGGAATGTGCACAGACGAGTTGTTAAGCTTAAAGAAAGAATGTCGGATTAGACAGCTATCTAGATGTAGATAGACGGACGGTTCTGTGGTGACAGATACCACGGAAAGAGAGGTACGAACCGTGGGACGGGTGGAGTGACAGAAGATGGAGACGAAGCAGCAGCGACAGCAAGAAAGCAGCAGCAGCACATGCACTCATCCACCGTGCATCTGCCGGAGACTACTGGCTTTCCATCCACGGGTTGATCGGGAGGATCGTCAACACGCGATTGTCGGCGCGGCAACCGGCCTTGATAAGAGTCACGTGTTGGACCCTCTTATGTCATCGCGCCTCGGAGTTAACTGTCTCTCCTCCGGTCCGACGGCTTTGCTTCTTTCCTCACACCTTCGTCTTGCTGCACAATGAATATTCAGCGTGCTCCCTATATCTGTGGCAATTGCACGGCGCGGATTACCCGCGTGTCTGTGCGCCATTCTCCGCGCCAGACCTTCTCACGATTGACAGCTCAATCGCGTGAGTACAGCCAGGTCATTCAGAATGAGCGGCCTTTCCGCGTGGCCGTGGTAGGGTCAGGCCCGGCAGGCTTCTATGCGGCTTATCGACTCCTCTCCAAGGTAGACAATGCCTCGGTAGACATGTACGAGAAGCTTCCGGTGCCATTTGGTCTTGCGCGATACGGTGTTGCCCCCGATCACCCAGAAGTCAAGGTAAAACCGCTATGCTATGAGTCAGAAGACATGGACGATCAAGCTCACACTATCCGGCCTCTAGAACTGCGAAGAGAAGTTCACCGAAGTCGCAGCATCTCCGCGCTTCAACTTCATCGGCAACGTTGAACTAGGCGAAACCCTCCCCCTCAGCTCTCTCAAGCCACATTACGACGCCATCCTGTTCGCTTACGGTGCCCCGAAGGACAAGGAACTGGGAATACCTGGTGAAAAGGCAATCCGCAACGTCTACTCGGCTCGGGAATTCGTCGGGTGGTACAATGGCCTCCCGGAACACCGTGATCTTGCCCCGGACCTGACTGCTGGTGAAGACGCCGTGATCATCGGACAAGGAAACGTGGCTCTGGATGTCGCCAGAATCTTGTTGTCGGATGTGAATACCCTGCGGAAGACGGATATTACCGAATATGCTATTGAGGAGCTGTCAAAGAGTAAAGTCAAGCGTGTCCGGGTAGTTGGCCGCAGAGGACCGATGCAGGTACGGGTTATCAACCCGAGTACTACACCTATCACATGCTTACATATTTCCGGCTTCAGGCTGCATTCACCATCAAAGAACTCCGGGAACTGCTCCAACTACCAGGCGTAGCATTCGACCCAGTCCCGAAGAATCTCTTCCCCCCGGAAGACGTCATGTCCGCTCTCCCAAGAGCCCAGAAGCGACTCATCCAACTCCTCGCAAAAGGATCAACTAATGATCCCACCACCTCAACCAAATCCTGGTCTCTCGACTTCCTCCTCTCTCCCGAATGTCTACATTGGTCCCCCGTCCACCCCTACCGCCTCTCCCACGTAAGATTCGCCCGCAACGAGCTCGACCCCTCCGATCCCTTCCTCCCCAGCGCCAAAGTCACACCCAAGTACCTATCCAGCGGCAAGCGCGCAGAGGTCAACATCCCCGCCAACACCTTCTTCCGCAGTGTCGGCTATAAGTCCCTTCCACTACCCGGACTAGAAGACCTAGGTATCCAGTTCGACGAACGCCGCGGGGTGATTCCCAACGACGGCTTCGGGCGAATTACCACTCCAGCCAACACCGGCGACAAGGAACAGCTCCCTGACGGATCCTTGATCTCGCATCTCCCGGGTCTGTATTGCGCTGGCTGGGTCAAGCGTGGCCCTACGGGCGTCATTGCTACGACGATGATGGATGCGTTTAGTACGGCTGATGCTATTGCTGCTGATGTGGCTGGTCAGGATGGTAAAGCGTCGTTGTTGAATTCGCCGGGTTATAGCTCTGGACTTGGTTGGGAGGGTGTCCGTCCTGAAGCTGAGAAGCGGGGCTTGAGAGCTACGTCGTGGGCGGATTGGGAACGCATTGATCGTGCGGAACGGGAGCGTGGACAGGAGAAGGGTAAAATTCGGGATAAGTTTGGGAGGGTGGAGGAGATGCTTGAGGTATTGGGGTGATTTTGTAGCATGAACGTATGTATATATAGACAATGATGTACAGTAGATATGACCTTAGAATCTCTCAATTCATATGCAGAAAGTTCTGTACTTATGCTCATCGATCACTATGTTGATATGTATGTATGTATGCTGACGCTCCGTATTATGTTATTAACAGTAGGTAAGATAAAGGAAAGTATCCCAAAAAAGCGTATCAATCGTAAACCCGAAATCATATCCCATCGTAGCCAATCCCCGCAATACCCGAATTCATCCCCCAAGCACAATGCTCAATAATTTGGCGTTTATTTGCACTGGCTGACATCCACCTCGGTGTAGGTAGCGTCAATACGACCCAGGTTTTGGGCCTGGTTGCCAGTGAGTTGGTTCATGGCATCCAGGCCGATGTTGAAGCCACCAGGTGCAGCGTCAATGGCCAAAATGTTGACTGTCTGGCCGTTGTACGTCAAGGCGTAGCATTTGCCGCAGTTGGGAGAGTTCCAGCCTGGAATGGTAGGAGCGCCTCCGATTCTGGGGAAGCCCGGAAGAGAGCCGAAGGTAGTGTAGCCCTTGGTGAGCAGGCCGTATGTACCGTCCGAGCAGGAGACGGTGGTCAATGAAGTTCCAGAGACATCGTAGACAGTGTCGTAGGAGACAGAGACTGTGGTGCCAGCCGCTTCAGCAGCTTCCACTGGTGCGGCCAGGGCCGAGGAGCAGAGAGCGAGGAGAGAGGTAATGGTGGTGAAGGTCTTCATTGTGGTAGATGAGTGGTGATGATATAATACTCGTGAGATATGGATGAGATTGTGTATGGTAGTGGTGGTTTGTTCTTGAGTGTAGAATAGATGCTTGATCCGAACTGAAGAGGAGAATCTCTGGGGTTTGTCAAGCTACTTATATCTTTTCTTTCCCCTCTTTCTCTTCACTTGAAGTTGCAGTAGCGGTGAAATGGCAATGAGTATTCCCGGGAGGCCTTGCCTACCCAAGGCGGCCAAGGCTCCATACTGTGGCATAGAAACGGGAGGCCTGATGCCCTGAATAGAAACATAGTCACTGACATCACATCTGTTTGCTATACGAGGCCATTGAGGGGTATAGATCTGCGAAGCACAAGCCCGAAGTGAGACATTCCTCCCATCAATGGCGGGCAACACTGCATCGATAGCGAGCGGAGAGAGACATGCGGGGGCGCAGTATTCGCGGCGTGAAGCGTCCGAGCCAATAAGAGATGGCACGGCTAGACCCTGAATGAGACATACAGCCTTAGAGCCTTGTCATCTGTCCGGGACCTCCGGCTGGGAGGAGACGGGTGACTTGTCCTGTGCAGATAGTCGGTTTAAAGACAAAGGTCCTATTCATAGTACCTAAGTGGCACGACTATGCCTCGGACACGTCCGGGTCATGCAACAGCCCGCCAAGCGACGCATATTGAAGCCCGCATTTTACCGGACACCAACCGAAGTTCCCTATCGGGCATTAGCGAAAACCAGCATCCGGTGCGTTCGAAATATGTGGAATGTGGCTTCCAGCATATGCGAGCGTTGCTTGGAACCCTGCAGCATCCGAACTGGCTACAATGCTCTAAAATCAGACCTTCTCCAACTACTAATGAAATAGAAGGTTCACGAACCACGCGCCTTAAATGGGGCATTCGTATGCCAAGACAGAGAGGCTCCCAGAAAGAATGTCTAGCCCTGGAGTCAAGAGTAGCTTGTTGTCGATCAATCCTTCCGGATCCGAAAATCGGAACACAGGCCTGTGAGCTTTCGGGTATGTATACACAGGTTGGCTAATGCTTTCTCGAAGTGGAAGAATAGACACACGTTCCGTTGCTTGGGCGAGGCTAAGGTCTAAATATTTAGTATTAATTTGAGACTAAGACCTTATGAGGCCGCTCTCGGCTAATATTCAACAAAGCTCTTGCCGATACGACGAGGTCTCAGCCACGAGTGTTTAAGTTCCTTTCGATGCTTTCATGGGCCGAGACAGCAATTGGGCGACTCATCCGCATGGCCGAATGATGAAAGCCGCCAACTTACCCAAGTCGTACCAAGTCAACGGCAGATCCCAAGTGACTGGTGTAGATCCCTGACGACCACCGCATACAGTCCCTCAGTGTTTGCGTTCAGATGCCAGGCCCGAATACCTACGATGCCTCAGACGGAAGGTCAATTCAAGCATAGTAGTTTATAGATACTACCATGGTTCTAAGATTGTGCTAGGAGTTGGCCGGACAGTACCTTCCATCAGCCTTTGCAGCACGGCCATTCCAGAACCGTCGAAAGGCCTTGAATGAGCTCATCAGATTAGCGTGCCCATTCAGCTATACCCCGCTGCTGTCCTTGGTTCGAATCACTAAGTCATATCGAATCTATGGGATCGGCATCTTAGCAACATGAATCGACAAGAATAAGCTTTCGGCCACTCTTACCCAATGCTCGTTCTCTCCTGAAAATCTTCACCCAGCAATGGGGTACAGCTGCAGATTATTTCTTTTTCTCGGCCGTTCTTCAATCAGTGTCGTGGAGATCTTGATTTAGCCAGGAACAGCTCAAGGTGTGTCCATGCTCCGAAAATCATCTTCCTGATAAACTTCTAGGTGGGTGCGAATAACTGGAGGGCAATATTGCAACTATGGAGCCAAGCTGAACAATCGGTACCGAAGAGCGGGAGGTGGAGATGAAGGACCATTTGTAAGCTTGTGATTGTTGCTATTACCAGCAATAATGTGCGAGCGAGGCTGGAAGTAATAATCAGAAGCTGAATGGTGATGAGGCTCATTGATGCTCAGGTGACTCCCAAAAGGAGTCGATGCTCGACTTCTCTTCCGCCGTGCTTCAACTTCCATTCCAGCTTCCTCATCTTCCACAGTTGCACAACTTCACTATTTCTTTACGGTCTATCTGCAATTGGAATCTCCACAAAGCACGACATCCCTTCCTATAAAGGAAGGCACATGGTTCCCAAGTCTTACCCGCTGGGTTTATTGGTCCCAGCTTTCTG